CTCTCGCTCTCTCTCTCTATCTCTCTCTCTCTTTCAATTTCCCGCCGCTCGCGTGCTGAGGCCCTCTTTCAACAACGTCGTTTGTAACCACATCTAAGACAACCACCTGTCTTACATCCGAATGCCTCACGTCTAGCAGATTACTCTCTCTCTCTCTCTCTCTCTCTCTCTCTCTCTCTCTCTCTCTCTCTGCAGTATGCCATGATAAATAATTCTGCTCTTTTCTTCTTAAGTCGTAGCACACAGACATGTTGTGAGCTACAAACATTAAGGTAATACACCTGCCCTTAATGAACTACAGCGTCGGAGTCTTGTCCGCCTCTTGCAATTTCTCATCGCATTCCACATTTTCATCCTCACCAAATATGTCTAAAAATTTGTGGTCGTCTTTCATGTGCACCACCTCATCGTTCATCTTCTTCTTGTTCGTGTAGTTTCGTTCCCATATTTTTGTTGAACTCTCCAGAACTGTTTTCTTTCTGTCCAGAGACACAACGTTGAGGGTCACTTTCCCGATGCCYGATGTGGATGTCRAAACGATGGCTTCTTCAATCTTTCTCATTTCCCRAGTTGYYGGAGGTGTGCGCGCAGGTCGACTTTTGTTGTTGATATGACAATCCAACACCATATGMGCAAATGCAAGTTGTTGAAGTGTGCAACCCCTCYGACCCACATCGTTGTACTCTCTATACAAYACGTCWTCTACAACRCTTTTGAACTCTTTYSCACMYCATGGTTCATTTCCTTTCACTYGCCATRAARAATCTTCTTTCATTTTCTTACKCAACTCCTCCCGTTTTACATCTAAACGATCTCTCACGCTTCCACAAGGATAAGGCATSGCTGCTGCACTYCAAAATGYTCTAACGATATCATATGCGATTTCTCCTCTAATGTTYGTCAATTYCCTCGACCCCATGGTGCGAAGTATCCCAACACCTCTCCATTCCAACATGCGATGAACACTCTCTYGTGTATCAATATCAACTTGTGTCACAAATTTCATAAAAAYGTCGATATAGTCTTCAATGGAAGGGTACATGYCAKCGTCACGTGCCCGTGAAAAACAAAAGGTMTTGGCAAGGCAGCGCAACATTTGCTTCAAGACTCTTGAATCCGCTTGTAACGTCTRCACTTCTTTCGACAGRCGCTTCTTGTCGACGTCCTTCTCTTTCTGCRACTCTCTCTCKCGYCCCCGTGTCAYTKTGCACATCAAGAAGTTAAAACACYGTATAATACAYATGTGARWTGTGTACACAATGTGGAGAGTACATTCTATACATACTGGATCAATCTCATCAATTCTTGACAATTACGACATACAACTCAACCCATTCAAACTACAAATCCTAATATGACACAATTCCAACGAATAAAGTTGTAATGCGAATTTTTACCTATTGGTCGATCATATCTTTTGTCGTTGTTTTTCAGACGGTCTTCGTCAGCAAGTGTGTCTTCATAATCATTACAATTATCATCTTCTTTTGCTTCGTGAACGTCATTGGTGTCATCACTTTCATGTTCTTCCTCTATTTCTTCTTCTTCCATATCATCGTCATTGCCGACGTCCTCATCTTCACATCCGCTGTGAGAGATACGACGTTTTTCATGCTTAAACTGTTGCTCTCCATAAGTCTCCATGTCTTCTTGTTTCGGCGAACTTTCTTTTTCATCTCCCTCATCAGGTGCATGACGCATTGTCCTTTCAATATCGTCCCGGCTTCGTTTGCTTTGCACGTATTCCATATTTTTTCGCTTTTTTGTTGGGGCGACCGGGGTCAACCCACTCAATGCTTGTCTTCCTCCTGTCTTTGCTCGAGGTGTTTGCACTAGATTTTCCCTCCCCCTCCGCAACACAGCTTCATCATCAACCTCTCTTTCTCTCTCGTTCGAATGGAAACGTTTACTAGCCTCACGGTGCAATTGCAAAGTGTTCTGCCTCCAAGATTCGTTCAGTTGTCCCGCATTTCGTTTACGCATTGTATCATTCTGTACCGATCTTCCTGTTCGTGCCTTAACTTGTTCTCCCTCTTCTTTCTGTTCCAATTGTCGTCGCACCAATCCCTTCCGTGTTGGCACACCTCCTCTTGAATTGTTGTCTCTCCTTTCATTACACGTTTGATGTGCAGTTCGATGTCGACCACTGTTGGATGCACGGTTATCCATTTATCTGTATTTCTGATTTTTTTCCGCGCTCTTCAAAGTACAATATCGTAACTCTGTCAACCATCATAACAGCACACAGGGTCAATGATGAGATGTTAGATATACCGCCATCTCACGACACGTTCATCTACAAACTGAGCAATATTCGTAAGTGGGTCTTTCATTTATTGTATACACACTTTTCGTTATGTGATGGACACATCATTTGACTTACTTGTTAAAGTCAACTTTTACACTGAAGTACAAAATCTCATTATGCTCACCTTTGTCTTCCTTCCTCATTTATTAATCGGTCCAGTCTTCCGGCTTTACGAATATTTCTTGAATGCTGCAAACAATTCTTCACTTGTTTGTGTCGTGCGTGACTTCGGATAGGCGGTTGTCAAAGCCTTAACCATAACACCACGTTGGTCGTAAGGCTTCCTTGATTGGAAACGCTCACAAGTCGAACTAAGTTCTTCGTTGGTTATATCAAAATATGAATCGTTCGCAATTCTGTCAAGAATGCTCTCGATATTCCTTGCGACAAAACCCCCGCTGTCGACAGAGTTCTTTTGCGCTTGACAAAAAACGTTCTGAATATAAGATTCTGTGATACCATTGTCAACGATCGCCCTCCAAGCATGCGCTGCTTGCGAACTTGACACTTCTCCTCTCTGTGAAAACATTTCTGCAATATGCTCGAAAAACAGATGCGCCAGCAATGGCTCAAATGGTGGTGGACCCATGCGTTCTTTTGAGTTGAGATGATAAATGTCGTAGTTTGATGGAGCTATAATTTCTGGGTCTTTCAACATTGGCCCTATATTGTTGATTACTAAGAGAGTGAAATGCTTGTTGTGCAGAACGGGAGCTATAACCACCTCCTTTTTTCAATATGACTTCATGCCCGTTCTATTTTTCTCACAAAACTGTGCTACGACTTCATCATCAGGAATAGTAGTTATACTTATGTCCTTATGATCGTTCAGTAAACTGCTATACCATAATGCTGATAGTACTTCTACTTCCGACAAGTCAGCACCGTTGTGTACGAGCGTGTCGTATACATATTGTGCATAAAAGTCTATGATACTCGTTGTCAACTACTTCCCTGCCCCCAAACATTGGAGATCGTTTATGCGTAAAACGAAAGACTCCGCATATGTAGGATGCCACTTGAAAGGAAAATAGTCTTCAACGGTGCTCATTGTCACTGGTGGCAATTTCTTCACGTGCTCGTCGAGTGCTTCGCCGCCTTCATCGATGTCTTCATCCAAACGGACCACGTCATGTTCTGATTCCTTTTTGTTTCTTGAGTTGTTGTTGTCATCGAGTGTTTCGTCTAACTGTACAGCCTCGTCACTTTCAACGCCCTCCATTGCTTTATGTTCACCATTTGTCACCGCATGTGTCTCTGTCGTTTGTCTCTCTCTCTCATGTGGCTGCATCACATGTGGTGATACCTCTCTCCCTCTGTGATCCGGTGCACGTGAGTCCTCGTTATAACCTTCAACATATGTGCTATCCTTGTCTCGTGTCTGCTGCTTTGCTGCTCTCACTTGACCATCGCACTCTGGATTCGATGTCTCCAGATTTCGCAATCCTTCTCCGATTGCTGCACACGAAACTAAACTGTTATCGAAACAGTCAACACCACTTCCTGCTAAGCTGTCATCACCGAGTATAAAGCGGGTCCCTATATCTTTATTTTTCATCATCTCTTCAATGTCCGTTGAACCCATGTTAGTAGTCAGTTTTTCCTCGCCCTCTGCTGCGTCTCTAAGAACCGAACTTTCTGCTACGTCTATAATAGGTTGTTGTTTTTCTTCTCTTTCCTCACTGTTTGGTTCTATCTCCGTTCGTTCATCTGTCAACTTCAAAACGTTGCCACTATGTACTCGTTCGTCAACATTGGAAGACAATGTTTTGACGCTTGTGCCAGACGAATCATCACTTGTGACTGCGTGTGTCAGAACTTTGTTCACCTGTTGTTGTGCATTGGCGTTTTCCTCAGCAACATTCATGTTGCTATCGTCAACACACATTAGGTTAAATGCAGTTTCCTCGGGCACGTTTTGAGCACGAGCTGCATCGGCATCTGCGTCGAACATGATCCCCATCTCTTCATTTTCAGCCCTCTTCTCCCCTATGGATGTCGTTGTCCTCATGTTCTGATAAGTACTTCCCTCCGTTCTTAACCGTCGTTGACGAAACATCTCCGATATCATTTCCGACTCGCTGTCACTATCCGACGACCTTCCCTTTCGTCTACTCTCTGAAAGTCGATGAATATATGCAGTTGTTTGTCTTTGCAAAGGAACCAGTTCCCATGCATCAACTGACAACGACAACATTGGCAGATGATATTTCCTCTGCACACTCTCGTCTGACAATGTATTCGAGAATTTTGGAATCTTCTTTTCTGAAGCCGCAACACCTCTCGTCGGTTCTATCTCTTGGATCCGGGCGGCTGGTGGGGTTTCAGCTTTGTCTTCCCTCTTCTGACCTGTCACTTTGTATGTGGCATTTGTTGTCCCGCCTCTGGTACTCTTTGCGCTGCGTGTTCTGACGCCTTTTCCTTTCCATGCTTTAGAGGATGCATTCATTTCTTCCACGATAATACCTGTAGTACGAATGCAATGCATAACAACGGTATATAAGGCTGCAAAAAACATGGCAGACTCATATGATTGTTGTGAACCTGTTTATAAAAAACAGTCCTTCCTCTTGTGCGGCGCGTTCCGCGTGATTGCTGAATGTTGCACGCTTAAAATATTGTACGAGATGCTCTGGTTTAATAATAGTGTCTACATCGATTACACTGGTACATTGTACACCTCTGTTCTTCTCCCACTGCACCAATTTACATGTTGTTCGGTTCGTGAAGTTCATGGCGCATTCCTTGTACCACTGAACAAATGCACATTCCACCTTCACTTTTTGTCTCTCTTTCACGCATTGCAGCACAAACAACATTAAAACAGAGGAATACCATACATCATTGTTGGCGACCCTTACGCTAATGTCACTACGAACCTCGCGACCATGAAACTTGTTTGTTGCTCTTATAGATCGCACATCCGCCCCTTCGAGATATCCGTTGTGCGAGGCTGGAAGTGCTGCATGAGGTCTCGGACGTATAAATTCGTTATCGTGAACTTCGTCGATACCCTGCTCTGTTATGTATATACGCAGAGCTTGTGCAAATTGATCTCGGTGTGGCAGTTGGACCAAGAATTGAACACCTTCTGCAGATATTGATGAGACTTTGTCGACAAGTTCCCTCTCGCTCAGTGTAAACCATGTCAGTCTCAACATCGCAATGTCAGTTGACGCGATAACATTACGACCCATTCTCTCCGCTTTCATAACCGCCGACCAATTCTCCTCTTCCTTATTTTTTTTTTTCCTGACAACGGATATGTGTTCCTCTAGAATGGTTGTCTTTTGAATATGCCGCACCATCAGTCTTGAAAGGTTCCGACGATTTGATGCTTTCTAAGGATCTTTGCATAAGCGAATATGGTTGTGTTCCCAAATGTCAACTGCAAATGTGTTTGGAAGTCCTGATCGCTCCACAAATGATCTAAATTTGTTCATATCATGCATTTTTTGAATGTCCCAATTCGATTTCTGTAAGTGGCTAAAACGTTTTTTTGTGAAGCTCATGAAATCCGACAGAAGAATATCACACCTATCAAGAGATTGCTTTGTGTGTTTCGTGACGCGAAACATGCTAACGTAGTATTCCAGAAACATGTCGCACCATTTCACAATGTTCTGCCCCTCAGATTATCAACAAAGTTGTGGGCAATAAAAATGATAACTGTCATAACAACTCTATTATGCTTTACCTCGAACCTACCCTCACGTGTAAAATAATCTGCCCTGGTCGATAAAGGCAAAAAAAAAATATGAAATGTGCGGTTTGCTCTAACGCTTATTTGCTTCAGTCGAGCATCTAGCTCACTTTGCATCGTCGTTGCATTAATGAAAGACTTACAGAAAGTTTTCAAACCTTCCACCATATATTCAAAAATGTCATGATCTACGGTGTGCATTCTATCCGGTTGTAATGCGTAATGGTAATCGAGCATCACAATATCATTTGAAGGACCCTGGTAGAATCCCCAAAGACCGTTCTTCACTCCTTCATAATGCATGCCCCACTCAACTGCTAAGTCCGTTGATCGTTGACGTGCAGCCACATCATTACCGGTAATGATGTCACGGATCATATCACGATCGATATTCCCGGTCCTCACAATTGTGTTGCAGTCCATGTACTCATGCAACTTGTGCGATGGGACAATACAATTTGGACATCTGTCATTCTTTACCAACGCCAGAAGACATCTTTCCGGATGGTCTTGCACGTAGTTCAACAACAGTGGATGTATGGTCACTTGACCATATCTTGGGAGGTTTATTAACATTCCATCATGGGATGCCCTTTTCGCACTTTCGAGTATGACGGTCAAACAATCGTGAAAGAGACGTCTCTTTCTACGAACGAACGTAGGAGCTTGATGTGTCCATCCTCGCACATGTGGCACAGTTTGAAGAACAGGCAAATACGCAAGCAACGTTGCATGCCCTGGTCTGTCTGTGATCGACAACATCACAGGATATGTTGTTGTTTTCATACGGCCGTCGACATGAGTTTTATCCGAATACAAAGTAAATAGCACTACATATCTTTCTCGTCCACTGACATCCAATCCCTTATCGTTTCGCACTATTTCTTGTGCTTCCCTCCAGAAGCTTCCTGGTTTGGCATTCTTTATGACTGTATCGTATTCTTCACTTACCCTTTCCGCCTCTAGCGTATAGTTCTTATCTTCTAGCAGTGTCTGTCGAATGAGACCCTCATATGTGACATCCCATTTGCGTCACCAAAGATGAGCTTCGGATTGTGCTGGTCAGACTTGTAATCTCATATCACTCTTTTGCCAAGAATCATCTGTACTCTTATCTTGTAACCATGACTTGAACGTACAACAATTTTTGTACGGCAATCGGCTCGCATCGAATGACGGGTTGCAAACAACTGAAAGTAATACATCCACATCACTATCTGACAATCCTAAACCTCCTCTTGCAGAGAAAATGACAGCAGCAAGACGAAACTCGGAAGGATAATCATTACCTGAGACGTCGTGTTCGACATGACAGCTATTGTTCGTGTTGCCTATTTCATTATCATTGTCTTCTACGTTAGCTAAATTTTTCTCTTCTGAGTCGTCAGATGACGTTTTATTTTCGCGGTCTGGATTACCAACAAATGACTCATTAGGTCTGTCAGCTAAACATTTTCTTGACCTGTGCAACTCCATCACGCTTCTGCATGTGAAACTACAACCAAAATCGTGGCACGACACAATATTTTCTGCACGGATCGACATCCTCTTCAATGTGCGAAAGGAAGGTAAACGCTCTCTTCGAATTATATGATCATCTGTTCACCAAACATCAAGCCACAGACCAATGTGTTACTTTTATAATCATTCGAACAAATGTAAACCGTGTTTGTGATTTCGTCAATCGCATCTCGCAAAAGCTTGATCAACATTGTGGGAAAGTGCGACTGCAAAAGAACTGTAAGTCATTCAATTCGAAAAATTTTGAACCATATAATAGACGAAGCACACAAACAGAGCAACAAGAACGGGGAGAAGTCTGAAGTGTAAATATTGTTTATTATTTCTCTTATGTTCTTTAAGATAAATTGTACACGCGAGAAACATGTCGAAAATATCTGTCTTTATCACAGCACAACAAAAACACTTGCTCGGCCGTATACCAGCGGAGTTCCTTTAAGCTTCCCACCACTGTTCTATTCACGCATAACTGATAGTAACATGGAGGTTTGCTGACCATGGACTACGGTGCAACATTCACATCTTCGTAGTAACGTGAACTCCCGTGTTTTTACCTAAGGCTGTTGTCTCCCTTTCTCTTGCGATTGTGGCCGCTGACCATTTCGTCATTCTCTATATTACATTCGGTTCCACTCTCATCTCTCTCCATGACAGAAAAACAACATCATCGGACTGCAATCCGACTCTCGCACCGCGTGAGCAACTTAATGCACCTTGCGCAAGAAAATCAGCGCGACCATCAGACACACCCGTCACAGACATCGCTAATTCTTTGTTAACCAACACATGCCAGTTTGTCCCTCCCTTCGAAAGATCCTTCCCTTTTCGATGAAGATATGATAACCGCGATAAAAATCGAACTGCGTCTCTCTATTAGGTGTTATGTCCGAACAGTAAATGAGAATTGCTAATTGACATTCAATGCCAAACGCAAAATCGCAAGACACCATCCTCTCTCGGGAAGAGAATTGTCGTCCGCGTTCTCCTTCCAGAACTTTCTTAATCCATCATTCTCATCATTATCCTCCATTTCGTTGCTGCACTCTTCTCCCTCACTATCTCTTTTCCCAAATCCCATTGCCCTCGGACCTTTATTGCTATACTCAAACGCAAAATTCAAACATGCTAAAGGCGTTTCTCTTCCCCTCTCCTCTACTATTTGCCCACATGCAACATCCATCACTGAGAACGACGAAGTGTCATCCCTTACAATTATTTCCGCACACATCAATTTCCAACATTCGTTTACAAGCCCGGTCTCAGAGTTAGGCTCTTTTCTTGCAAGAACGTTAAAAGAATCGGCAAAAAACTTGTCTACTACCGACTCAGGATTTTCTGACTCGATTGCATTTATTTCCAGTACATCTCCCGCTTCTTCCAATATCTCGATGATACCCGCTAGAAAGCTGAAAGTGGTGTGGGCGCGATTGATTTTCGGACACAAATCAATCCATTGAGACAACATGATGTACTCGCTTCCGTTTGCTGCGACACATGGCAAGTCATACACTGACTTCACATCTTTTCTCTCATCCTCTCTTTTAAAATGACGAAGAGCTAACAACACCGCAGTTTCGGGTCTCAACACGTCCTCACTATCGACCATGAAAAATTCACTAGTCACCGTTTTTCTTTTCAAGGCTCCTTTCCAAGTACGCAAGTCATACATTCCGCATGTGCATGACTTTGACTTATCAATTTGGTCTTGGAGATAAAGCCACCTTGCCAGCCCTTCAAACTCTGTGGTGGACGGAGCATTTTTCAGTTTTGACAAGAAAGCATCCCAATGAGTTATGCCATCACGGTTGCAGCTCATTGTTTTCTCAAAGTCAATGCTCACATCAAAATATGGCGGTATACTCTCTCGCAACATGTTCAACTCATCTTCCGATTTATAGTCAACGCCTTCCTTGGCAAACTTGAGGACCATCTTCCACGCACGTGTGCATTGTTCAGGAGTCATCTCCACCTGCTATGCTTGCATATGTCCAACATCCATGCATCATAAAACAAGTATACGCAATTCAAATAAGTATCATAGGGCATACAATTATATAAGATGCTCAAAGTGAGGCAGAAAAGCAGTCGACGAACGGTATGTCATAAAGGTTGTGTGACCACGTTCACAACAAAGACACAAATCTCTCTCTCTTTCTCTCTCTCTCTCTCTCTCTCTCTCTCTCTCTCTCTCTCTCTCTCTCTCTGTGTGTGTGTGTGTGTGTGTTTGTGTGTGTATGTGTGTGTGTCAGTCAAGCAACGATATGTCGTAAAGGTGGTTTGGCTCCCTTCCTGCATCAGGATGCAGCACGACACAGATCATAACCACCTTTACGACAAAGACACCAATCTCTCTCTCTCTCTCTCTC